TGATTAATTTAAGTAAGCACAAATATTATATCATTGCTGTCTGTGTTTGTTTTGCAGTTGCAAATATTTCACGTAAATGAAAAAAAAATGAAGGACAGATTTTGGAAAACTAAAACGATGTGAAGGAAAAAGTGGACAAAATGCCCTAAAAACAAGCCTGTAAATTTGGAAGCTCTAACGTTTGTCATTTTTTTTTCTTTTCTTTTCTTTTGTCACCCTTCATTGTCCATAGATCTGAAAAAGGCATTGAAATGGGAGAGGTAAGCATTTCGTATGGTAATATGGATTGCGTGTTTCCCATTTTTATTAATTTATTTCGTTGTTGTTGTTGTTGTTGTTGCTGCTGCTGTTTTAATACTTTAATACTCTTCCAGTGATGATGAACCCTTACCTGCACTGTGTACAAACCAGGAGGAATGCCAACCAGGGACCAGTTACTCTGTGTGTACAAACCAGGAGGAATGCCAAACAGGCCCCCCAGTTACTCTGTGTGTACAGAGAGAAAAAAGAAAACATGCAACAAAGGCAGAAACGCGGCGGTGGAGATATCAGCACCGTGTTGTCAAAGATGCTAAAACAAAAACCGCAAGAAGGACAATGAGCTGTCATTGAAGGTATGAAAACATTGTCATGATTTTTTAAGGTCCATCTACATATATATATATATATGGGGCAAATTGTCCGAAGGAGGGGGTGGGTGAGTGTCTGGATGGAATTGTCCGGGAGGGGTGTGTGACCGGGGTTAATTGTCCTAGAATCCTCTCAAAAGTATCTGTAGCATGTGATCCTAGATGAAGCAAGATCACAAAAAAATAGCAGTCGTCAAAGCATGCACAGTCCTAGACAACTCCACCCCCACCCTTACAGCTGCCTACGCTTATATCACACAGTGTCGGATTTGGAGGGGGGTCATGGGGGTCCTGCCCCCCCCCTTCCATTTCTGATCCCCTCTTGCTGAATCATGGTTCTAAACCGTACCAAATGGCACCGTTCGCCCTCTAAAATACCAAAAATTTTCAGGGGCCCTAACCCCACGGCAAGTGTGAGTATGTGTGTGTGTGGGGGGGGGGTCGTCTTCGCATCCGCACACCCCCCCCTTCAAATAATCCTGGATCCGCCACTGTCACACCACTTAGTTCAACAGCCCTGCAGACCAGCCTGCATCCAGTATGTCCAGTATTATTATATACATCCAGTATCTCTCAGGTATACGCGTCTATCCATCAAGATGACCATAGTACAGGTATAAACGGCGACAACTTATCTAGCAAAAAAACTCCCTCATCACAGACAGTTCCACTTTTATTGTTGGTAGGTAAGACCAGAGTTTAATCACAGCCAAAAACAGATCCGTTCACTTTCTCACCTAACGCATTTTCTCACAAACATTCATTAATAGGGGAGACATTCAAAAACTGATACATTTCCTTTTTCACCTATCACATTCACCATGGACCTAAATAGAGAGTTAGGTCCAAGCATTCACTAATGTTAATTGAAAATATGGGAAATACATCCAAAAATACATCTGTTCTCTTTCACACCTAACGCATTCACGAATGCTCGTTGTGCAATAGGAAACCCTCCCAAAAACAGATCCATTCCCTTTCACACCTAATGCATTTACAAATGTTCCATTATGCGATAGGGGAAACATGATGTTTGGTCAACTCCAAATGCATACATTCTCTGTCACACTTCTTTCTGTATTCTGTACGCGTTTTTAAAATGCCCAAAAGAAATATTTCTATTTTTAAATATCTTGCAAAGTTACTAACAATGTGGAATTTCATGTAATTCCATGCTGCCAATAAACTCCCGAAATTTATTGCTTTAACATGAAAATCTTTCAATGGCAAACATAGAAGCACCTGAGTCTGGTGTCGGTAATTTCTTCGCAAAATTCATAAAAACAGGTTGAACTTTAATATTTCCAAAGTAATTAGTTCAGATTGCCTTTCTGCTTTTTCAACTAAAATGCCAGTGCGCCGCAAAGACGGTTTAGAGTTTGTGTGTGTGCGTGTGTGTGTTTTGTGTGTGTGTGGGGGGTTGTGTTTGAGAGAGAGAGAGAGAGAAGAGAGAAAGAGCACGCAATCAAAATTATTTTAACGCATTTTGCGCCAATATGTGTCACCTTCACTCTATACAGTGCGTATTTCAGTATAATTCCAAGAGACGCATGCGTGAATACATTGCCCCAGCATCTCTGAAGCCGTAGAACTCATTCATCCACCAACCCTCTCTATCGATTTTACATAGCGCAAAGCCAAACGTAAACAGAAAGAGGCCATCAGGAGGAGAGAGACGATTGCTCGAAGCCGCTGAAGCCATTGATCGATAGCTGAAACCTTTATGTCATATGAACAACGGCTTGGTAACTGTGATCAGTAACTCTGTGGCAAGGCGGTTCAGGTGCTTCATGTTTCGTGGTTGACGTGAGTGTTTATGTGCCAGGTAGCTCCAAATAATTGGTAAGTTGCATTATGTGGAATATCTCCTACTATTCAGAGGATTTTCATTCTGTTCATATCGTTATTTCCAGTCCTGTGACTGTTTGGTGATACATATTGCATTTCTTGTATATATAAATAAATACGTAGGAGTCGTGAAATAACAGTGAAAGTTAAGTTTGCTATTTTCAATTTTGCGATATTCAAAGACACTTGTGCCATGAAATTGACAAGTGCCACACTTGAATATATGCTTGGTACTTCCGAAACGGCCATAAACTCTGCACACAACCCGCATTTTGTATGGCAAATTTGACTCCGAGGTACCTTGGTCTATTCATGATGAAATTACAGTATTTGGGCATTTAAATTCCCTCTGTTTTAGTTGCAATTACAAAGATATGCACCGGTATCCTGCGGTTACATTGACATTATCAACGCGTCCTTAGAGACAATATACTAACCCCTGGGGTCTGACGGACGCTTTGAAATTCATGTTTACAAGTGCGTGGTTTATTTCTTTCTTTGACCATCGATTTTTCTCAGTAGGCGCACATGTTAATATACGTGTATTCTGCAGTTGATGCTGAATCGAATGAACTAAAGGTGCACGTGCATCTCCTACGGTTACAGGCTTACAGACCCAGCATGTATCAGTATATATGTGTGTATATTAATATAAATAGAAGAAACGAGATCGCTCTCCGGCCGACATTATTATAGTGTTCAATATGAAGAATCTGTTGTTTTTGATTAAATTTTATAGAATGACTTGTGAACACAAGCGAGATTCCTTTGCGATCAAGAGAATGAGTGGACTTCTCATGGGAAAAGAGCTATCCAGAGTGCACCTCCAATTTCCTGGATTTGGCTAATCTCTGCCATTTAAAGAAAAATCGGGTATAATCCAACAAGGGAAAACGGGATCCTTGTGTCCATTACACAAAATATGATAAGGACTCTCTTGTTGCGTTCAGTGACATTGGTGTTTCTGTTTCACAAAAAGAAAATAAGAAACGCCGCGTGCTGACTTCTTTTGTGACTTCTTGATTTCTTAAGTCGTTTGGGCGCGGAAGCGGAATAAAAAATCGATCAATACTAAGAAAAATCGATGACACTGCACAGACCATTCATCTTTTGTTCGGATTCCCCTAGTATTACCGATTTAATTCCTACCGATATATCAATCTTTTTGGCCTTTCTTTCTAACTCTTAGTGAATTGGACGAGGGGAATTTCCAATACGATTGCCCAATGCCAAGTCAGAAAACGTTTACTGCTGCATGTGTATACTGACAGATTAGAAATAGTTTTTGTAAAAGCTAGATAATTAGCATACTGCAGCCGCTAAATATGGAGTTGCACTGCTCGTTTAGTCACAGAACTTAACGTTTCTGAGTTGTACCGTTGTAACGTAACTGAGGCTCCGTGTAACAGAGAGTCCGATGGAAAGCGGACTTTCTGTTATAGAGATCTCTCTGTCCCGTTACACCTGTACGTCTGCTAAAATGGAATCTGCGCTGCCAAGTAATCGTTTGCAGTGGCAGAAATCGAGGAATTTTCTTCGGTTAACTTTTCTGTCTCACGATTAATTGGCGTAACAGGAGGGTCTGTTTATACTGGTTTATTCACCACACTGCTGATTAAGATAGTAGGAATTTCCCAATATACAAGGGATAACTGCACAAGCAGTCTGTAAAAACTTTTACTTAATCTACGGGCTAATTTAGGGGACAACCACAAAAATCGACTTTCCATTAGACCCCATTGGATTTTCTTGAAGATCGAAGTAAGAGATTATGCGTTATTAGATGCATTGCAGCAAGCATTTTTCTCTAGACCGATTTCTCCCAGTTCACCGTATTATGTGCTTTATGTAGTTTTGCATATTTTTCGAAGAGATATTGGCTCCATTCAGAATGGATGGTCNCATTTAAGGCCGATTAAGGTGCAAGTTACGTCTACCGAAAAGTAAAAGCCAATGTAGGTTAAACGTACTTATAAATATTTTTTGAACAGGTGAAAGCGATAATGGTTACGTCTTTATAACCCTTTGCCAGTGCCAGAGTTTATGCGCAACTTCCTTATTACCCTTTTCCTAACTGTTTTTTTCCCAGAAGATTTTGTTCCTTCTTTTAACTTGTTTACGATCACATTAAGGCAATTAAGACATTTAAAATTCTTAGTCTATTTGTACTACTTGAGATTACTTGCTCGTCGCAATACATTCAATAAAAGTGAGGTCTGTTGATTTAAAATGATAATAATTTATTACAAAAAAGATCATCAATAAAATAATAAATAAAGAAATTTTATCTTTCTTCAGACTCATTACAAAACAAATATCCGTAAGTCTTTCTTTTGAAAATCACACACGTTAAAGACAGATCTATATTTCACAATACAAACATTGTAAACAACTCATTGGAATGAAACATATTCTGTTTTACCATAAAAGCGGCATTTATAGCTATTATTCTGATACCTTAACTTGTCATCAGACCACGTGACCTTCATAGATGGCTATGCTCTGTAATAATCTCTTTAGATATTATAACATAAAATCAAACTTTTTTTAAAAAAAGGAGGCACTAATTTTGAATGTAGAAATGGATTCGTTAACCAATGTTAAGTACGGGAAAATAGTTTATTCCGGGAAAGTTCATGTTCTGGCCATTACGTACAGTTCCTTTAATCAAATTACATTAAGTCTACATACATGCCCATGGTGGGCAATCTTGGGGCTTTTCTCTGTCCGAAAGCCCCCCGTCCCTTTTGGGCACGGTTGTCATTTTCCTTGTGCGCTCAGGTTGGTACTTCCGGTATATATTGTCCAATTTTTTCTTGTACCGGTGCAGTTTTTGCGACTCCCACTGTATTTCTTTTACGACCCGTTCCCCGAACTCATTCTCCTCGTCACTCGACATATATTCTTTTTTCATCACTGCTCCAACCTTGTGTTTCTTCCTTTCCGTCCATTCGGCCATCTGCAACGCAGTACTTCTTCTGTGCAGTTTCTGCAAAGGTAAAAGATCAACCAACTTACTTAATGGTCAATAACATTAAACCAAATCCAGTCAAGCTGCTTTTTATTAAAGGAAATTTCAGGACACAAAAGATAACGTGCACGCCTCACACATATTAACCAACAAAGTGCCGAAAAAAGCGCACACCTCCGATGCAGGCAGAAATTTTTTTAAATCAATCCAGTGAATACCATCAACCTTTTGCACTTCCTCATCCGAATTTGATATGACAATATCCAACATTTTACCAAAATTACAAAAATTATCAAAATGAAATAACTGAGCAGTCTATCGCATAAATATTTAGCATCACGTGGATTTTTCTTTAACCGTCAGTGCACATTAATCATATAATAGAAATTCTCAATTTTGGGTCAATTTGTTCTCCCTCATTAATTGAATATAATTTTGTCATCAGCAAGTGAAAATGGACTTAAATGTTTGTCAAACTACACATAAGGCTAATCTGCAGCCAAAGAAAGAATGAGGAAAATATATTTGAGAGGCAAATAGAAAGCTTCTAATATTGACTTTGAAACTAGAGAAACAGAGAAGCGATACCGCTAACGGATATTGTACCACCAGCTAGAGTAAAGCGCATTGGTAAGGAAAACCAAAAAAGGGACACCACCACCAGTCTCGTCTTTGACAAGCTCTATAAAATCAACAAGAGTTACCAAAATATGCAAAAATTTTAAAAAAAAATGCATGCAAAAAAAAAAAAAAAAAAAAAAAAAAGCGAAGAAAACTATAAGAATGATTCAATCAAGCAGGTTTTCGAATTGACCTGTATTTTCCTGACATTGATTACTCCTGTGATTTTCTAGACAATAGGCCTATTGATTTTCCTTGAAAAGTCTTTTCAGTGTTGCATATATGCTGACAAAAGAGAAAACCTAGGGGCAACACTGGGCATATCTCTGCTTGCTTTGAAATGTTTGGGTGAAATAAATATCAGTTCATGGTAAAAAAGAATGTCAAAGGTCAATTTTAAAGTCACAGTCTATGACTTCCTATTCAAGTTCAATAATACCTATGGGCATTTCTTTGCCAATTTTGGAGATAGAAAACATGCAAAGTTCAGGTAATGGTGAAAATTAGGTCAAAGATCAATTTCAAGGTCACAGTTACATTACCAGTACATGGCTCCCTATTTAAGTTCAACAGTAATTATGGGCGTATCTCTGCCAATTTTGGAGATTGCTGGAAAATTTCTCTTGACAAGTTCAACAGAGTGCAAAAAAAAAAAAAAAAAAAATCTCTAGCATTCACGGTTCCAGAAATTGAGAGCGCTTTCAGTTTCGGTATCTATTGGCTGCTTTTCCCCTGAAAATGCACCGCTGAACACCTTACTCCCAAAGATGAAAGGATTCCCTGATTGTAACCCCTTACTATGAGAGCTTAGGTCTGTGTAGTTCAAAAATTTAAAAATTGGTACAAACAAATATTTTTTACAGAAAATTCCCATTTTTAGAAAATTTGACCTTGAAATAAAGGTCGAAAATCAAATCCAAAGACATATATGTAATGACTTTTGGTGAGAATTCTGTGGTAATTTTCCCATAATTCATTCGGTTTAGGAGATGTTTAGCAATGAATTTTCAAAAAATTTGAAAAAGAATGTCATGCCCAGGCCACCGCATGCACCGCATGACACAAAAAAACCTGGGGGTTCAAGTTGAGATTGTATGTGACCTTTATCCAAGAGACGGGGACACAGGACCTTGTGGTATAGGCGGAGAAGCGGTAACGGTGACTTGTACCCCACGACACCCTGCGGAGCCAACGGAGCCGCATTAGACTGGACGGGACTAAAACCATGAGTACCGCCAGCGTACACGCTGGAGGTACTAATTAATGAAGGTGTTAAAAATACTTACGGCCTTTAAACGTTCATTCCGCCTGACTCTTATCCTATGGTTTTCCTTTGAGCCACCCTCTTCCCTCTTTATGTCGTCTTTCTGGGATTTGAAGTATATTTTACATGCACCTAGAATTGAGAAAGGGGTTTGTTAATTCTCTCAAAGGCCAGTTGACAGTGTTGTAATGCCAGTGTAACAGGAATGGTGGTCCGTAATGCACCCTTGTACGGGTGACATAAACTAACCCCGATACTCCAACTAACCCTAACCTAGTCGTATGGACCTTGGATTTCCGTCCTCAGGACTACCAACTCTGTCACACCGGGTTAGGTTCAATAAAAGGACTCTTTACTCAAATTCCAAAACACACATCAACACTGGGTATCCTTTTAGCACATAAATCCATTGGATATTTAAATATTTATTTAATATATATAAATATGTTTGATATAATTTGTAATTAACAAATGATTAATTTTTAATACGTATTATACTTGATTTGGGAAATTGAGAGGGCATTTCGATTTATATCTTCAATTAGGCCATTAACGAACAAAATGCTTTACTCCAAATTGATACAACTCCAAACACTGGTTCCATTGATTCTTACAAGATAACCAGCCACAATTTAGCAAAGCTTACTGTGTATGTCAGCCACTGGCCACCTGGACTTTCCGTCGGCCGTCAGATAATTCTGCTTTACCTCCTTGACCACCGTCTCTGTCAGAACAGAATTTCTGTCCGAGTTGAAACTGAAAAATGCGAATTTCGCAATTTTAATTAAAAGAAAATTCATTTAAAAATTACTTACACTACAATAGAAATGGAAAATGGCTCTATACACAAAGTATATCACTATCTCTAACTGACAATAAGGTTTGTGATAAATATGGGAACTTAGCAGGTTTATCATCTGAGTGTTAAAAAAAAAACTTTTGTTGGCGACCTTGACCAATGAAACACGAAACAGTCTAGTAACACAACGAGCAACAAACCTGAGGTCAAATCGCCAATGCCTTGTATCTGTTGAAAGTGCTCTGTACATTGCCCTTACTGCTAGCTAAAACATAATAAAACATGAATATAAATACACTATATTACTCATAACACATTAAGGGTGGACCTAAAATAATTTTCTCAAGATATTTAAGCAACGCTCATCTTTAGGTCCGTTTGCAGAAAAACAGAAGAAGGAGATAAAAACATGCTCACTTAGTATGATTTTTCATAATCCTCTGGTAACAGAAATTGGCAAATCTATCAAATCTATCAATCTATCAATGCCATGCTCGTATGCACAGTTTTTAATTTCTAACGTTTTTAATAATACTTTCGAATAACATACATATGTAAGAAAATTATACAGCATGCGCAAGAGTTCTAACGTTTATTATTTGTCTCCAGTCATAAGTATGTTTTTCCATGCCTGACAACGAAGGCTTTGCAACGAAAGTTGTTAGACTTGTTTGATTAAGATAAGAATATCAGGGAAACATCAAACCTAAAATAACACTTTTTTTTTAGCAAAGTTGAACATTATACTCTCTTCTCTCCTGACAAGTTGCAAATTATTTTACTTTAGTAAATCAAAACTGGGATGACGCATCGAAGGACAGTTACATTTAGAGTTCGTTCACATACCTCGACGCATGAGCAGTAGGAAGTTAGAATGTAAATGGCGGTCACAGTTGCTTTGAAAAATGTGTTTGTCGATGTTGTGCAACAACAAGCATTACCACTAGCCATATTACGCGTCTGTACGCTCGAGTCGTCACGACTAAACTGATGAACTGCACAGCTTAGAGATACTACTGCGCATGCGTCAAGGTGCCAGAATCTCCTCCGAGCGCAGCCAAGAATTAATTACAGCTTTTGGAAGTAGACCAGAAGTTTATTGACAATCACCCTACATCCGGGCATGATCAAATACAAATACAAGAAGTAATCCGCAGAGTGATTACCATTAACAGTTTGATATGCATTATATAATGGCTAGACTAATGGAGGGAAAGTACAAGTACTACACAATATAGATCAATATGGGGATTAAAAAAAAGAAACGGTTCAACTAGAATAGACTGCACTAAACCTTATGTAAAATTAACTATTATTTAGGGGGATATATAAGAGGCATCGTCAGTTTATCTAGGTTGTATTCAGCATGGATGCAATTTTCTTATCCCTAGCTTTAAAACAATCATAAAGAAAATCAGTTGTGCATTTTGCAATATCAAAGTAGTAACTGGCTTTCGCTGCCAGTAGTTACGCCGTGGGGTATTCAGGGCACAGACCGTGATCACCAGATACCGCCAAAAGATTTTTAGATTTTTAGAAAATAGATTGTTCACGTGAACGAACCCTTAGTCGATTTATGATATTTTTTGTCGGAATACGTATATTTAATACTTATTTTTAAGTGGTTTTATCGGTCTGTTATGATACTTTTTCAAACAGCAATGATTTTAAATTTTTAATCAACAAGGATGTTGTAAATGATGATTTTTGTAAATACCATACTTGTATTGGAGGGACCCAGATAAAAGCTGCCTTAACTTATGTTTTAAGTCGTGGATTCGGGGCTCACTTTCGAATATTGCATGCGTAAAACCATCATTTTTGAAGCTGGACATTACAATATCCCAGGCGTTAAACCACCGTATCGTTACTTTTGCAACTTAGCCTTGACTTAAAGATGAAATAAAAATCATGTACTAAACTTAACGTTGAATTTGTGATATTTGCCCGTTTAGTTCGTGTAATTTTGAAATTTAATACAAGACAAAAATCTAAGATGTCATTATATAATCCTGGCAAATCGGTCAGAACTAAATGCACACTTAGCCACAATACAGCGCAATGCACTAGAGAAAAATCCAGTCCAGTTTACATTAGCAACAGAAATGACTATTCCCAAAATGATGTGATATAAAAACGTAGTATATATTCGGTTATTTATATCGTTGATACAACTTAATCGGCTGGAGAAGTCGTATCGTCGGGTCCGGTCGCCATGTCGGCGATTGGCTCTCCTTGGGCGGTTTTGTTGTCAAGTACTGCGGCGTAATGTGCATTTTAGTCTGAGCCATAGTTATGAGGTGGTGGGGGGGATACTGGACTTTAAACGCTCTTACCTTACACTCTGCGGGAATTGTCTCACTTTCTGACATCTTTCTCCGAGTGCCAGGTTCTTGCTCATGCTGTAACCTCTGTTTTACATCGGCTAATGCCTGCGTGAGTTGATCTATAGCGTCCTGCTGCCTTTGAATTATGCTCTGCATTCCCTGGTTTGCCTGCTTCCATTCCCGTCTAAATTCTGAGATCATTTCGCGGACAGACTGTACGTCATTTGAATTTGAAGTTGCACTAATCTTGCTAACACTGGAGAGACGCAGCTGCAAAAAAGAGCTATCTGAGCGAACGGGTGTCGAGCATAAGTCGATTCCACCAGAGTGAACAGGAGATGACCAAGGATCTAGATCGCGAGAACACAGAGGTGATACACTTAACTCATCCATAGTTGCTTCACTGAATGACGTTTAAGAGAACGCACAAACTTTATAAAGAGGCCATGCGGAGTGATACTGACGCCAATGCCCTTTGATGGATTATTTATTTCACTAAGGTGAGTAATTGTTTCTTGGTATTATTTTTATCATAAGAATATATTTGTACATATATTGTTATTTTGACTATTCCTTTTTCAATGCTTAACAGTTTGAAGGAATTGTCACAGTAGGGATTATTTCTATCACTTTCCCGTCAAATTGCTCCGCCAAAAGAGTCCGTCACTTGCAGAAGTATATCCTGACAACCAATTAGATGGTGCCACGTCGGTATCGTTGCACAAAAAAGGGAATAAGCGTATTTGTCAGCTGGGGTTGCAGCTGCAATTTTCATTTTAATAACAATATGCATGCTACTTGTCTTCAACAATTTCACACATTTGATTAGAAACTAAAGATAGTTCTTGTTTCAGAGTAACTCTCGCCGTTCACCCCACTTTTACCCCTCGGAGGGTAAAAAGTCGTTTTACTAAAAGCATGAAAGAATTATGTAAGCACAGTACACTTATGAGCGCTTAATAACAATACTTTACAGGAAAAATAGATTTCCCTTCATACAGAACAATGGAATACATAGAAAGCTATTTTAAACCAATTCGCAAAGGATGCCTGTCGTTATAAATTTGTATATTTATGACACATTTTCTTCCATCATTTCAAACATTTGATCAGAAACTAAGATCCATCGTTATAGGATTTTATATACTGTGGCACTTACTGATTTTCGGTGTCCCTCTGTTCGTTCAGAGGCAATGCTTATAAATCATGGAAAAAAAATTAAAAGCGAAGCACTTCTTTTCATGGAAATTAATACGTATGCACATTATTATTATTAGGTGAAGAGGCCTAGGGTGATTTGATTTGCGGTCCTTACTGAATTAAAACAAATGGCAAGAAGTAGTGGGAGTCGGAATCAATATCAAATAAACAAAGCGGTTCAAATGAATAAAAAACGCATTTTGTAAAGGCAGATTGTATCGTAAAATGTGGAAAATGTTATTGACATTCATTCATGTTTATATTAATCAAAAATATATCAAGCATAATGCCCAAAAAATTATTTTTGCCGAGTTCCTCAACGGCGTGACTGCAGGAATGGTGGTCCGGGGTCACATATGATTAGTACAGGTTAGGGTTAGTTGAAGTATTGGGGTTAGTATATGGGGCGAGTCACCTGTACAATGTAATGGGCAGACTATCATTCCATTGTTGAAAATTTGGTAGAATAAACTCAGGTATCAAGAATCCTATGTAAATGATTATACTCAATTATCAAGAAAGGTAAAATCGGTAGATCTGATCAATATCAGTCCAGGTTGACACTAGCACCTCCAGGGTATCAGTTATAGCTTGGGCTTGCCATGCTTATCTTGATCCAGGTGACAGTCAAGTTTAATTGTTGCTTCCTATTATCATAGTCCCGTCCGATGATTGTTCCCTATGGCAGACGAGATTTTATCAGATTACGCAAGATTGGACAAAACACCACGTTCATTGATCAACAATTTCATCAAGCTGTGCATAAATACAACAAGTATGGTTTCTCCACATATCGGACACATGCATAAAATCATTGATAAATCAATTACTACACGCTGATGTAAAGTGCGGCCAGCACGCAATCTAAAATAATGCCGACATGACAATAAATAGACGTAACTTCTACATACACAACAGGCCAGCAATTTCAAAAGGGGGGGGGGGGGGTTCTTCTTCTGAAAAAGTGAAGCTTTTACCATGAAACTTTCAAGTGCCTAGATAAATTTTTTCCCAGAGGGGACTTTTTCCCAGCTAAAGGGGGGTTCTTTCCGTGGAAAATGTAATTCAGACTTTAATTAGAAATAAGCAGCTGAGCAGGAAGATGCAGCTTTGTATGGAAATCATCAGTGTTTTCACAGTGCATTCAAATAAAAATGAGCGGCAAAACTTTGATGGTATAAATAAACAATTAAATCAGGACTGTCATACGATCCACACTAATGCCTGAACCTTAATACACCATTTTAAGTCTAAATAAGTAACAATAATATTGTAAGGAAACTAGGAGAACGAGGCAATTAGCCCCATTTCCACTTTAATGAATCTCCTAACAAACCTCTGGTAATGTATGAGTACCGTCTCTAGGACTAAATTATAATAAAAATAATGATAATAATAATAATAGTTTTTTATTGTGAAATAATCTTCCAACTTTCGATAGCGTTCATTAACACGTGCTTCTACATAGGTTAGCTCTTGGACATGAAAACGAATGCAAAAGAACAAAAAAAATAAAAAAAAATTCACTGAGGCACAGCGCGCGCTACATTGATGATAGGCTGCTCAGGCTCCCGTGGAGCAATCAAAACATAATATGTGAGACAATGGGCGAATGTTTACCCGGACGCACATAGCTTCATAGGAAGATGCCGCGTTCCCAGGCCTTTAGTTATATATGTCCAATGTTAGCTGAATTTGACAGTCAGCGCCATTCGCCTTATCCAAAGCCCCCTCGGTCGACTAAACAGATATAAAAGTTAAAAAGATTACAATCAGTCATTACTGTCTTTCCTACTTCATGAGAAGTAGGTGAAGTATTTTATTGTTCACTCTTTGGCCACTGCGAAATACGTATCGCTGCTATCATCTGATTAAATCAAAATTGAGGGTCCACTTGGTGGTGCTATTGAGGTGTTGTGTGTATCTCATATTGTCTTTTTGCCGTTTTGGTGACATTCTGTACGCACCCAGGTTTGAGCAAGTTTGAGTGAAGTGAACCTGAACTTGAATCAAGAAGAAATGGATCGTGATGATTTTTTGCCTAAGGTAAGAATAGTGATTTTAAATAACAAACTGATGAATTAGATCGGTGGTTTCCACTCAAAGGTACGTAAATGTTGAATGGAAAAGAAAAAAAAAAAAACAAAAATAAGCGGAAGAAGAAGTAACGTGATATCAACATGTTTTTTTGACACCACGTTAAAGCGAAAGTTTCTAGAGTGGGGCATTCGTTGGTATTTATTTTGCATTACGAACGATATTATGTCTCTTTAAAGTAATATTGTTCAAAAAGTTTCTTAAAAATTGTATATTTACATAGTTCAAATTTGCGGAAAATACATGTATTCAGCAGTGTAAGCCTAAACTGTTACTTAGAACATGGACTAATTGCAACCAGTCTACCCCCTCCCCTACTAGGCTGTACGTCTCCCTTACGTACAACCGTCCTCTTTCTAAGTCAAACTCATACTGAGATGATGCCCTCTACCAGGGCGACAGATTGATTTTTTACAGATATTCACAAATATGTCTCTAGTTAAATAGACAGTCATTTGGCTCTGTGGATTTTCCCGTTTTTTTCCGTTTCCGAAAAAAAGCCGTTATTCTTATATAATCCGCCACACTTGTAGAGGGTACGGGATGAGACGCCTCTCTGTACACCACACTGAGGGGCACTGTCAAAGCACACGTCCCCAGGGGCCCAGCCTTGGATCGTGTTATTTTGATAAGAGGTTGTTTAACCAACGTATGGGCCGACCACCGCAAATATCGTTATTAATGTCCAGGCTTAAAATGTAGATTAAGTTTTTGAGAAATATTAATTATTTAACACCATAACTGATCAAGCATTTTTGTTAATCATGTTAACATCTGCTCTATGTGTGATTGCTTAAAGACAAAAATAGATAGAAATGATCATTAAATAATTCTTGTTACTAATTAAGAATGTAAAACATCAGTTTTGATAAAAAACATTACAAAAGTTTTACGCTTGAAAAAGGCCTTAATAAGGACGCTTTTTAAATGGAGTTCTTTTACAATGTTATATTTATGTCAAGGGCACAAGAACCACGGAATGTCCCGCGTGCAAGAGGTCGAATAAATGTCGGTTCAGAATGGGCTTGTTTTAAGAACCTTCTTGAATCCAAAATACATGATTAATTAACTTTATGTTTCTTTTTCGTTTTTATGATTATTTTAGGTTGGACAAAAGAGAAAGGCGCCAAGTACTTTTGATAGATTATACTGTCCACACTGTAAGAAAGACGTAGCTAGACGCACTTTCTACCTCCATAAATCAAAGTTTTATGATTCGAGAACAAACACTTGGGAAGATGCATATGAGTTGGATTCCCGGCAGCTTGGAGAACCCAGTGACTCATCGGACAGTTCGTTTGATGGTATGTTTTGAAACTTAGTCCGTTTACCTATCACAGAAGTGTTATTATTATCGATGCTGTAGTACACGCCTTCGAAAAGGCGACATTCATTATTTACGTAAGGTTTAAATTTCATGTGTAGTATGATTATCTGTGGATTTAAATATACAAAGATATGTTGTCTGTTTTAAATAATTTTCAAATTTAGTTGTTTTCTGTCAATTGCTTTGTCTTTTTCTTGTGCCAAAACATTGCCGTAGAATCGATACGCCACTAGTAGTTGACCTTAACTTGGAGTAGGAGTGGAAGAATGCGGCCTTAATGCATCAGGATAGATTATTAGCTTTGCAGGATGTGTTTTGTGTTTTATACCTTTAATTTAATGTACTACGCGGGATATATACATGCATGATTTGTATATTGAAATTATTTTAGGAGGCAGTCATATTTCAGTGGACAGCACTGTAACGGAAAATCAGCCTTTATGAACATCATGATATTAAGAGTTATCAGACCCGGTTCACTTCTGCGCCCGACTCAAAAAGCTCATTTACTCCCACTTGATAAGCTTAGCCTCCGCTTTCAAAATATGTAAACATATATAATTGTATATCCATATATATATTGTGTAAACATTGTAGTCTAGAGAGCCTGCAAATGTATTCACATCATTTAGTGCTCAAAAAACTTATTATTATTATTATTATAAAATAGCTAAAGCCTTCTTGCCCCATAGCGCCACGAAACGCATTTACATTTGTATGCAGTTCATTTTAAAATATCCCCAGAGCCGACAACCGTAAATAGCGGTTTCTCTGTTTACATGTACATGTCCACTGTCGGTTTTAACAACACATGCTTCCGTCACAGGGATAACCCTATGTTAGTTATTTGTTTACTACCGGCTTTTGAAAGACGTGTGACTAGAATACCCTCTACCAGGGTGGCAGATTATACAGGGGAAAATAGAAAATGCCTTGTGTGCTGCATCAATCTGTCTTTTCCTGCTTGTATATCAGTACAAATGGCACATGTTTACTTGTATTTTCATGATTTTCATGACAATGTTTGTATTCTTGAATGTGGTTTATGCAATACGTCTTTTCAGTGCAAAACAACAAAAAATTTATGTGAATCCTTGCTCAGTTGGTAAAAAAAATTAAAAAGACAAATGTTTTACAATCTTATTTGTTATTACAGAAAGTAAATAGGTGGAAGTCGTGTAGTCGGCAAGCCCGTCTGTACCCCGGTATTTTGCGCAATTTTCAGACGTGATGCAGTTTTTTTTAAGTACAGCATGCATCCCAGGATATTCATTATAACTCAATAACTATATACGATTTCTTTCTGAAATTTTCTGACATTGTTTTAAACATATTAAGAATACTTCTCAGTAAAATTTCAATAAATTATTTTCTAAACTGAAAACAAAATGTGCATGCTCTTCGAGAAAAAGTCTCATCTTTATACTCCTGCATTTTCTTCCCCAGGCACCAAATTAGATGAAACTGATATGACCATAAAGCTCACATACTTGGCTTTCTAAAATGTACAGTTCTTAGGTGTTTTCTAATCATTGATTAAATCAGGCCGTCGGTAAATCCAGGTACAGGGCTCAGGACCAAGAGCACTTTTTAGTGCATATGCTGTCAAGATCTTTGAGGTTAATTCAATCAGTGCTTTATGATCTTTAAATATTTCTTTTAGACTCAGATGAGGGTGGCCAATCAACATCACTTGCTGTAGAAACCCACCTACTCGTGAGTGAAGACGTTAAGATGCCAGGCAACACGGTACGAAATTTCTTTGAGTATTTCTTTTACGCTACATGTAGTATGAATTCATAATCTAAGACACGATGCCCATCCATTCTCAGTGATTTGATGAAGATCACGAAGAAAAGCCATGCATGCCTGAAGCTTTATTAAAGATAAATGTACGCACTTAACATGGATCTATTTACATCCCACCCCACAGGTTCAAGTTGCGCCTAATCTCTACAGTAAAGACCCTTTAAATTGAGCGATGTCCTTTTTGCGTCCCGAAGTATGGTCCTGTTTACGAATAAAAAACAAACAAAAAATAATTGACTGATCATTGAACATTCATTTTGCCTCCAAAGCGATGCCTATGTGCATCCTTTATACCACAGCAGTGCCAAATGACGCAGAAAGGTCTTCTTCGGTAATGAAAAAAAGCAAAAAAAAAAAAAAAAAAAAAACTAGAATACATGACGTCAGTGATGTGTTAAAGACTTGCGGTGTCCCTTGACGTTGTTTACGTTTAGCACGCTTTTGGGACATAGGGTGTCTTTAGCACACTACCGACGTTACGTATCCTAGGAGTTTGTTTTTCTTTCACTTATTCTCTAAGTCAACACGTGTATCACAACAAGTGTATATACATAAGATAGATTTGATTGTTAAGATATGAATATCTTCAAGTGTATTGAGGAGAATATTAAAATTTTGACAGCCTTCAAACTTTCTCTTAGGCTCTGCTACTTGTTTATTCGACTAAACCAAAGAAAATTAGCCAATTTTTTTTAAGTCCGAAGGAATTACCATCTCTGAAATTATCTAACAGCTGTGTAAACAAATGGATCAGCATTCACCAAATTACTAACCCTGTAGACAAAGCTATGGAGAGTGAACAGCGTTGTGTACATGTCGTGAAAAGCCACAGTAGTGCATGTACATGTATATAGTAGTAGTTTACTTACCGTGACATTCTTGTCATAGGTACGGTACAACAATTTACAGCATTATCAATAATAATGTTAATCACAATAAAATTAATAAATGAGAATGAAGATAATACAATTCCAGTACGTCAAGTATAATATTTAATCTTTTGTATATATGTAGTTCTTAACATGTAATTTCCTTGCTCTTGTAAGCCTCGATCTAATAAAGAATTCCCGAGATTTCTATTTTCTGTTAGGTTATGACTTCCAAATAACAGTATTGATTTAAAAACCGAGGGCTTCTGCCAGTAATATTTTAAATATATTTGCTTCTCAAGTCACTATAATATGGGCAGATAAAGACAAAATGAAACTAATCCTCTATATCATATTCGGTCACATAGTATACATTTTCTATCTTCTTTCGGAACACTGTGGTATCTCCCCTTTTTAACCACGGGTTTATGATCTGACAGTCTAAACTTACATATAAATAACCTCCGTAACAATTTGTCTAGTTTTTAAGGAGAGATTTTTCCTAGATAGCCTGGTAGGTCGACAATATCCGTCAAGTGTCTATACAGTAATCATTTAGATGACTTCTGTATTGTTTCACGAATTTCTTGAATTAAATTGTCCCTTAAACGTGTTTCAAGGTCTTTAAGAAAATAAGATTAATCTGGTACATTTTTATCTTCCCAGTCATCTGATAGTCCGAGACGTGTTAACATGATTTTTAACTTGGTTGCCCAGTTATCGAACTCACACTCGAACTTACACGAAAGAAGTAGGTTATCATAGACCCCCCTTAAAATACAATTTTGTGTTCTTAATAATTTAGTCCAATACCTCCCTATTTTGACCCTCCTATGATATTTTAATGGAATCGCCCTAATTCTTTATAGACAGCAGCCGACACGGCTTTGTTACTGCTACAACATTACTTTTTCAATGTCTGATGAGTTTTGGAACCCACAGACCTCACTCCCGTAATTTAGGATTTGTAACAAATAGGTATCAAAGAGAAAAAGTTCAGTTTCTACATTAAAGAATGAGTCTCTACTGATATATTTTATTGCAAACATTGCATTTCCCTCTGATCTGCGGTAGCTTTCTGCGTGGTAAGAAACTTTCCATTGGAACTTAAAAGTAACCCTAGATAAGGAAAGCAGTTAGTTGTCTCAATTTTCATCCCCTTATAGTACCACGATTCATTTTCATGAATTTTTGCCCATTTTTAAAAATCACGATTTTAGTTTTACTAACATACACTGTTAAACCCCACTCCATACTTATTTTGCAAATCAGAGGGTGATTCAGAAAACAAAACCGTGTCACCTGCATACACCAACAAAAAGGTCTTTATTTCTCAAATTTCCGGACTGCTGCTATTGCTTTCAATAAATACATCTCAAAATCATTCAAGTATAACGAATATAGCAGTGGTGATAGTGCCTCCCCCTGGAGCAAGCCAGTATCCACACCAAAATAATCACTCATCTCATTTGTATGTTTCACCCGAGCTTTAAAATTCGTGAATAAATCGATGATAACTTTGAGGAGTTTCCCTGTTATTCCGGAGCGCATTATTTTTTTCCATAAACATTTCTACTTATCCTATCAAAAGCGCGGGATAATCCACGTCACAGCAATATAGACGTTTTTTTCTGCCTTAGAGCGCATCCCCAGAGATTTAGATCGATCCAGTTGGATCTCTGGGAATGCGCTCTTAATGTTTCTGAAATTAAACCATGTAGGGCAAAAATAGCATCTCTCGTTCCGCTACCTGGCTTAAAACCAAATATATTGAGCAGCTGAGATCACCTCGTTCTCAGCACTCCATTTCATAAGGCGGTTGTTAACAACAGTAGTAAATAATTTCGCTAAATGGCTTAACAGGGAGATTCCTCTATGATTGTTAACATCATTAGCGTCCCCTTTTTTTTCTTATAAATTGGCACAATAATAGCCCTTTTCCAACATTCAGGAAAGCAGCCACTTTCTAATATTTTATTAAATAAGATAGTAAACACAGGTGTCAGTTCAGTGCGGAATACTTTAAAGAAATCGTTTAGCATATCGTCTGGGCCAGGACTCCTTCCAATTTGTAGATTTTTAATTGCATCGTTTATTTTGTTTTCTGTGAAAAAAGCATCTAGTTCTGGAAAATCCGAGTCTGTTCTCAGGCTTGTTTATATCTTCTTGATTCGTATTTTTGGGTTCTGTAAACAACGTCTCAAAATGTTTCAAAAAAGCATCCGCAGTTAAATTGCTTGGTTTAACTGTTTTCGTTCGTTAAATTATTTTAAAGAATTCAGTCGGATTGTGTTTTTTTATATATGATAACCTGTTCCCCTCGTGCATAATATATCGTGTTTTCTTTCTCTTTATTAGGGTCTTATATTCCGATCTGATAACACATAATTTCTCTAAATTTATAGTGTTTTTTTATATTGAAAATTAAGTAATACTTCTCTATATTCCTTTTGTTTATCTTTACACTGATTATCGAACCATGGCTTATTTTCCACATTTGTAAAGCTTTGATGTCTATTAGTTCTTGTTAGCTGTTTACAGGGTTGAGTTATATCTAGAAATATCAGTTAAATTATGAACAACCTCACTTAACGATTCTTCGCCATCTTCTCTTATTCCATTCACTATTCCATACATATTGTTTAAACTAAGATTATATTTTCTCTCATTATTTCTAGCTTATCCTTGTCCCATCTATATCGGGGCAAACTTCCAGTCTCTCTCACTTACTGTCCGTGGCTCTATCATTAGGAAAATTAGCAGCCCCCCCCCCCCCCGTAACTGTTGTGCATAGTCTCTACGTAAACACGTGGATCACAACAAGCATACATCATCTGGGAAATGTTTGGTGATCTCAACCTTAATACGTTAGGTACAAAACACAGTGGTCAAATATACAACTCAAGCTACAGTCACGTAAATCTACAAGACACGGATACACACGTAACATCTGATCAAATAGTAATAATATTAAGAATTTAACTTTAAAAAAGTATAATGGTAAATTATAAGCGGCGAAGTTAAATAATTAAAGAATGAGTCCTCTTTGTCACACGTTCTCTTTGTCGACAACATCTATTGATAAAATCTATAACTATTCTAAGAATACTTGAGTCCTGAGCACCCATAAGGATATATTAAGGGTTTATTATATTTTGTGGAATATCAGATGTATTGTGTCGTCCAGATATGAATATCGTCGGATATCTTGAGAAAAACATTTAAATTTTAACAGATTTCCCGTCTTTAAGACTCTGCTACCAGTTGATTTGATTAAATAAAGTGAAGTACAGATTCAGATTCAGATTCTTTATTGACAAGCACCTTCACATACAGGGTACAATCAATAACAACACAGCTACTAGTAACTATAACATACAAAAATTTTCAAGGCCAGATGGACTTACTACCCCTGAAATAATGTAACAGCTGTGTAAATTAAGGGATCAGCTAGCGGAGAATGAAATCAGGAAAAGCCATGCATGTTAAAGACTTATAAAACGGATCTATTTCGTCTGTCACAGCGTGAAAGGAAGGTCATAACAACTTCAAAGATGAAACCTACTTTCTCTCTTACTTTCTGTGAATCTATCATTGGGAAAGCTGAGCAATCCTCGCCCCCCCCCCCCCCCACCCTGTTCCCGTCGCGCCAAGTCTATATGTGAACACGTAGATCACAACAAGAATATAGTTTAGTTTATTAGTTTAGTTTAGTTTATTTCACTGTAACATATGCATCCACCTGGGTGGATGAAAATGACAATATGAATATAATTTTTGTGAATATGCTATTAAACACTCACAATGAATAAGACTATTAACTTATTAAAAAAGTTTCTAGTTTCTATTACTACTACTCAACTGCGGATGAGTGCAGCACTGTCTTGTAGATCTCTCCTAGCAAAAGCGGAGGAGAGAAACTGAGCTAGTGCAATAATGGTTTCTTTTTCTTGACATTTCATAATTATAGTAAATTTTTCATCGGTTGTTTTGAAACCAAAATGTGTATAGTGTTTTGTAAATACTCTATATAATATTGTTCGCAGGTCGTTGTATAGGGGGCATGTTGTGAGAAAGTGTGTTTCATCTTCAATTTTGTCTGTAGAACAGTAATGGCATATGCTGTCGGTCCGAGGAGTGTTATTGTATCTGCCTGTTTCAATGTGGAGTTTATGCCCACTGGTGCGAAAACGACTTAGGTTTTTTCTTTTATCAGTATCATGAAGAACGTCTAGATATTTTTCTTTTTTATATGTATTTTTGAATGGGCAATAGGCTATGGATTTAGATTTGTCCTCAAGTTCACTGTGCCAGTTTTGTATGTACCCACTGATGATGCGTTCTCTGAACATGCTTAGGAAGTTTATGGGAGAATTCTGATTTAGCCATACATCTCCGAATCCGTTTTCGAACAGGAGTTTCATGATACCTTCACTCCATGAGAGGTTATCATCATTTAGATTTGACAGGCTTTTTGTTGACAGTAAATTGTAATAATGTAGTTCATCTAAGTATGCTTGTTTGAGTAGGTTATTTTCGTCTGAGCGTAGAATTTTGAGCCAAAATTTTATTAAATGTATTTTTATCTTTATGTAAGCGGGAATTCTTCCTGTCTCTCCTCTTACTGCATTGTTTGAGGATTTTGGGCGGACACCTAAAAGTTGTTTACAAAAACTGAGGTTAATTTTTTCGATGGAGATTTGTCTGTTAGATTGGTACATCCCCAGACCTCTGATCCGTACGTTGCAATTGGCATTATCATGGTATCGAATAGCTTTTCCTTGAGGGATGATTCAATAGGACTGGTTAGAGGGAAGTAACTTTTTAGTGCAAAAAAAGGCTCTTTGTGCTTTTTCTTTTTCTTATAAGCCTTTAGTATATTGTGTGGCACTTTAAATACATTGACTTGACAGATAGGAATATATTTGGGTGTACTGAGAACATACAGGCTTTAAACTTTCTCTTTGGCTCTGCTACTAGTTCATTCGATCTAATCAAAGCAAACTAGCAAACTTTTCAGTCAGATGGAATTCCTATCTTCTCTGAAATTATGTAACAGCATGTAACAGCTGTGTTAATTAATGGATCAGCGTGCAGATACCCAGATAGGAACACTTGACTTTATTCAAAGTGAGTGAAAGGGATTTCTTGACAATTTACTGCATTCACATCTACTAGTAGACCCACCCCCATTGTAACAATTGCCAACCTTTTAATTGAAGACAAAGCTATGGAGAGTGAACAGAGTTGTGTGCATCTCGTGAATAATCGCAGAAAATCAAATCTTCCACTGTCTCTCTCACTTACTCTCTGTGGCTCTATCATTGGGTAAATTTAACAGTCCCGCCCTTCAGTAACTGTTGCGCCTAGGCTCTAAGTCAACACGTAGGTCAAATTAAGGATACCAACGTGTAAAATATTTTGTGTCACATCAGATTGATTGGGTCGACAATATATTAATTTTTTTTCGGGGGGGGGGGGGCATTGAGAAGGACATCTTATTCCACTTGTATTAGTATTAGTAATTTTAGTAGTAATTAACTCGAAGAAGATTGGATATACCTTTTGTAATATATTCGAGCAGTGCAAATCCTACTCCAGCGTATAGTATGTTTCAAGGCTGCGATTATTGACTCTAGAACATTAAAATATAAATTTATGTGAACTTGATAACCTTTAATATTTTCCATATTTTTAGAGGCAAGTTAAAGAAAACAGGGATGAAAACCTATCTTCATCAAGTGACACCAGTGAGGAATCGTCTGATGATAGCTCAGACAGTGACCGACAGCTCACTGACAGTAGTGGTGAAGAGGATTGTATGGACATCACCGAAGACGATCTTTTCAAGGAATTGTTACAGAGGAAGTCCAACGTAACGGTAGAGAGAAATGTGAAATATCTTAATGATCCACTTCATAGAAAGGTGTCAAAATTAATGATGTGGTTCCTGTATTTTTTTCTTTTTTGGAAATGTACGAGCTCCATCAGTGATCAAGCTTTCAGCGTTCTTTTGTCTTTTTTGTACAAGTTTTTCCAAGTGTTAAGCTTTCATTGTGAAAATATGTTTTTAGATAGGGTTGCTGCCCTTTTCCCTGCCTCTTTATACTACTTACGTAAAGTGATGGCTATAGACAGAGACGATTTTGTTAGGTATGTCACATGTCCAAACCCAGACTGTGCTGCTGTGTATGATTATGAAAAATGCTTTGATACCAATCGTAGAGGAGAAAAGGTTGCCAAAAAATGTTGGAATGTCCCATTTCGTAAGGGAAAGTATAGCAGACCGTGTAACACAGTTCTTTTTGACAAGGTCAAATTAAAAGATGGAAAACATAGTTATTATCCGAAAAAGGTATATAGCTACAGATCTGTGACAACAGCATTAGAGGGATTTTTAATGAGAGATGGTTTTGAAGATATGTGTGAGGAATGGCGTAGTAGGGATGTTAAAGAAGGTGAATACATTGATGTGTATGATGGTAAGATTTGGTCAGATTTCCTCGTGAGAAATACTAGGGATTTTCTAGCTGCTCCAAGGAATTTCGGCTTAATGCTGAACATAGACTGGTTTCAGCCCTTTGACAGAAGGAAAGATGTGTCTGTAGGTGTTATTTATATGGTTGTTATGAACTTGCCCCGCAATGTAAGATTTAAACGGGAAAATCTAATTGTAGTAGGGATCCTACCAGCACTGAAGAAAGAACCGAGTAACATTAGTTCTTTTTTAGAACCCTTGGTCTCAGAGCTTAAATGTCTGTGGAATGGACTGCCTGTTAAAACTCCCAAACACCCAACTGGTACAACTGTCCGAGCTGCTTTGTTGTGTGCCGCTGCAGACATACCAGCTGCAAGAAAACTGTGTGGTTTTTTGTCACATTCAGCAACTTTCGGCTGTTCTAAATGTCTAAAAAAATTCCCAGGGTCAGTTAAAGATGGTAAGGACTATAGTGGTTTTGATAAGGAAAATTGGCAAGCTAGGTCCAAATATCAACATTCACAGGCGATAAGAAGATTACGTAAATGCAAAACCAAAACAAGTCTGAAAGAAATGGAAAGGTCTGTTGGATATAGGTATACTGCGTTGAGTGAGTTGGAATATTTTGATACTGTTAGGTTTCATGTTGTCGATCCCATGCATAATTTATTTTTGGGTACTGCTAAACACATCTTCAAGTTGTGGCTTTCAAAGGAAATTTTAAGCAGAGATGATCTTTGTAGAATTGAGGACAGGATGCAGCGCATGACAGTTCCCAGGGAGTGTGGAAGGTTGCCCCGTGATATTGGGGCCAATTACTCAGGTTTCACGGCTGACCAATGGAAAAACTGGACTACTATCTACTCACTATATGCCTTGAAAGGGATTTTGCCCGATGCTGATTTTAAATGTTGGCAAATATTTGTCTGCGCTGTGCGCAAAATTGTCAAGCCCAATATAACATCAGTGGATCTAGATATTGCTGACCTTTTGTTTGCCAAGTTTGGAAATCGTGTTGAAAAATTATACGGAAAAATGTCTGTAACCCCAAATATGCATCTATCTTGTCATCTGGTTGAAAGCATAAAGGATTATGGTTCTGTTTATGGTTTTTGGCTCTTTTCTTTTGAGCGGTTCAATGGGAAAATGTCAAGTCTGTACAATAACCATGTGCGATTTGAAGTACAGTTGATGAGGGAATTTATGCAATTTGACGCTATCCTTAATATGAAGCAAAACATGATACATGGTCCAGAAAATAATTTTGAAAGTTTTGTCTTTTCTTATGTGTCGGAAAAAAATGAGTATAGTCGAGTCATGGGATTTCACTTTTATACGCCATTCAAAAAGGTTGCTGACTGCATACATTCTTGGCAATTGTTAGATGGCATTGTGCCGCCTTTGCGATTCAAAAAATGTCCATTAAAGATGGACACAGATGACAACAGGTTTCTTTGCGAAGCATATTCTACTATGTACCAGGGTCTGGATGTTTTGCCACATAATTTGTCAAACATTTACTTTAAATTTGATTCACTTAATTTTGGTTCAGACTACTTTACATCAAGATTTAATAGGGGAGACAAGAACTGTACCGTTGTGGCGTCGTGGGCCGGTGATGATGGTGAGATTACAGATTACGGAGATCTTAGGCCTGGTTTGATTTCTTATTTTATAAAGCACACACTTTTCATCAATGGTAGTAATATTCCACATATATTTGCAGTTGTGAAGTGGTACAAACGCAGTGATAGGCAAGACTTTCCTCCCCCTTTTTCGTCATGGCTCAGAAACAGTTTTATCACGCCAGGTGCTGCCTCTTTCATTCCCGTGCAAAGAATTCGAGGGAAATGTGCCCATGTAACTGTGGAAACTAATGGTGTGAAACACTTGGTGATATGCCCTTTATATAGACACATGTGTATTTGATGGTTGAAGGGTTGCGATCCCCTGTGAAATTGTCCTGTTTTTCCTCATCAGGAAAGTGATACTGTTGATAGTAGGTAGTCGCCCGCATGATGTTTTGAAGTATTGTGGGCGCATAGATTTTTCCTTATGATTATTATGATAATTATTTATTTCATTATTATCATTATAGCGCTTACCTGAAGGCTGTCACTTTGTTAGTGTGCGATTCCCCGCGTTGTGAGAAGAGACTCGGCGCCTAATCAAGCCTAGCAAGTTGAATAGACTTCGTTCGAATTTTTATCATTATGTATTCATGTATTAAAATGTATTCATATAATTGCATAGATTGTTTTTCAGGGATAATTTCCCGGTGTGGGGAGCGTATTTACTTTTGTATTTTCCAGATAACCAAGGACCCGGAGACATTACACCACGCCCGCCGACCGAGCCTACGGATCTCCATCAACGCAGACACCCACTGCAGATCGCCCGCGGAGACGTTCCTCCATTCGCACCGCGACCGAAGTCCATCTGCTTAGACGCCCCACTGTAGATCGCCAAGGAGACATTCCTCCATTCACGAAGCGACGAGCTACTAGCCACTAAAACATTACCCGACAGATAAAAAAAAACAAAAAAAAACTGAACTCTCATTATTTATAGCAACGACCACTGTACATATATAAACTGTGACCGTGATGTACATACACACACTGGACAATAGAAGTGTCACCCCCTGAATCAGAGTAATCAAAGTTATAATATGCCTGATCTACTTATAATGTGACTAAAGAGTATAAAACCGTTGTACCATGGAATTGTATTGTTGATCTTTTTGTAAAATTTGATGTTTATAAAATGATACCATGAGCATATCATTCCACAGTCATTTATCTCCACCAAAGTATTGGTTCAGTAGGGGTGACACTTCTATTGTCCAGTGTGTGTAGACTATAGCATCCAGGCGTGGGCACTTTCCCGGGATTCCCCACGAAGGGTTTGAGACGGGTTTTTCCCCACGTCCTGAGAGCATCGGGTACCGGATTTTACTTCGCGTTCCGATGCTTTTGTGTTTAAAACGTAGTGTAAATATTAGTTTAAATTATTGATGATAAAGATAAATGCGTAGCAGATATATGTTAACACTTTTTGTAAGCAATACATTAACGAAAAAAATTGTATTTCATAATTTTTTTGGTGAAAAATGAGGGCGTGTTCAGACCAGTAAAATTTAACATTAATGAAAATTAAAATTTATTCGATTAGAGTCCCGGGCTTGGGCGCGCGACTCGTAATAAGTTTCAATTAAAGTGCGATATCTTTTATCTAACGTAATAGACCCTCTTTTCCTCTAGCTTATCTCCTATAATTGTAGCGTGTTCGCAGTAAAGATAAAGGTCTGTCACGCCAAGTTTAAGTATAAAATCAGGCTGCGACCTGACAATAAATGAATTTTGATTTTGACAACTTAACGGTGGTGTTGCGTTACTTTTCTCTCCGGGCATAACCCAAGTCGGGAATCGTGTACCCTACCTAGAATCTTCCAGCGGTGGATTAGAGCCCCTAGCGTTTAGATTATACCCGCGGTATATCAAATAACCTAGTACAATATGTTCTAATTTATATGATTTTAATGTTTTCATTTATCACCATAAAATTGAATTAATATATGAATATGAAATCCCCATTTAAAAAACGTACCTATGACAAGAAAAGGCATCAAGAAAGACATTGAAAGGCATTAGAATGGCTCCTAAAATTTACTTTTAATATCAATTTTTTAAATGTTCGAAGTAAACATCACTCAAAGAACCGTATAAAACATACTGTTTTAAAAGGCAGACATGAAGGAAGCCAGGTGGACATATGTTGAGAGATTGCTCCTAGAAGGGTAGATCTTGAGTTAAACCCACTACCCTGTGCAGTCGTTTATTTATTTATTTATTTTTTTTTTGTTTGGTTTTGTTTTGTTTTGTTTGGTTTTTTGGTCGTGTCCGTCATTTTGTGACCTGACCTACCAAGACCCAAAAATCTTGTCTGCGGTCTCTTTTTTCATATACTTCACAATATCCGAGTACAGAGAATCAATTACAAACTAGTGTTTGAGTGGGATGGAAGCATGAGGGAATATAAATCGCAGGAACATTTTTTCGGTTAAAAATAGAACCAATCAAAGACACATCTCAGGGACACTTTGGTTCGCGTTATGATGGTCAATCATAGGTGCAATAGTACCAGACAATTAACAAACTATATAGAGCTATATAAATCTGGGTAACAGGAAACAGACGTAGCAAATACACAGTCGGGCCTCGTTAAAACATCCCTGGCTATTAGCGCATAGAACGCACGCCAATGCTTTAATTTCGTTATTGTTTGTTGTAGATGGTTATAAAAACCGCCTGCTGGTTCTATCATTTTCGCTTTTCTAATACTAGTCCTCTCTGCCGTCTGTGATAATGCTCCTTCCACTGCGCTTCATTGTGGCAGATTGGGATGCATTAGTCGGACTTAATATATGGATTTGAATTTGTATGCACTCGCCCAAATTAACCTGCACCTTTATAATGCTCTGTATGTAGCAACTAAACGTGAAGAAGAGGTCTTGATATCAGTGCTCTTTCAGCCTTCAAATATTGTTTTTGAGCCAATTATACTGATTAAGTCGGACGTTACAGCTTGAGATTTTGAGTAAGGAAAGCGCTGGATTGGATTATTTGTAGAAAAGGCATGAAGGGTAGCTTCCTCATGTAAGCTTACCAACTAATTAATTGCTATCAGATTTAAATTTAATGGGCCTAGCAGTCCACTGTTAAGTCACCTTCACCAAACCTTCGAATATCAACGATCCACCTGAGATTTTGATGTTGGGAGGGGTGCGTTGAATTAGACATGTCAGTGATAAAAGTATTTGTTTGAAGAAAAATTAAAATCGCTGTGTGCATAAGCGTATGCTATTATTGCTGGTATTGAAACCACTTATAGGCCTACTCATTTGCTATGTAAGGGACGAGTAGCTAAAATTGTATGAAATTGTAAATAAAAATAGGGTATGAATGCATATTTACTTAGTGGAAATTCCCCTTATCAATAACAGCTAGTTCAAATCATTTTACAGTGTAGGCAATACATTCCTTATCTGGAAATTCGGTCGTTAATGCTGCGATATAATGACATCTATTTTATACATCAAACAACACATTTGAATCATATAGGGTGTAAAGCACGTCCCACACTGCAAAGTTATCAATACAGGACCACTGACAGTGCTACAGAGAGACCGATTAGATTGACAACTGTCGCATCTGCAACAGTGCTGCCATATGGCGGCGCTATGCAGAGTTAACAGTGCTGTAGTCACACATATTTACAAGCAAAATAATCCAATACAATTTCTTAAAAAAGCCTATGATCATAGAGGCATTTAATAGTGAGTAAAAATTAAGCGAGTAAGACTGAGCTTTACAGAAAAATTTTGAGAGCCGTTAAACACTTCCATCAAATCACAAAGATTATTCATACAGTTACATGTACAATTATTACGTTTTGGAAATTTATTATGATTTTTTTTATGAAATGATATGAGATTCAGTTCGCTCTCATCTATTTATTTTTAGAAGAAATGAACAACGTAGTTTTTTTTTTCAATTGCTATTAATTAATTAAGATATTGAAACCTCACATAGTTAAATGTTAGACAGATTCAAACTCTCAACAAACACAGGTATTAAGAGTCGCTAACAGGCCTGGGTATACTTGAACACTGTATTATATTGTATTGTTGGATGAAAGACCCCTAGGAAGCCACATATCAACGAGGTTGGGCCCCCGCGGAAAAACGTTTTTCAGCCACGAAGAAAGACGTATGGGATTACGCCTGTTGAAAGGTCGTGTAAAAGGCAAAGCGGAACCCCCGCGGAAAAACGTTTTTAAGTCGCACATGTAAAGCCCAGCTTGCACTGTTCCGACGTCATTCCGCGGACACTGAAAATTCGGAAAGATAATTTTTTGTGCTGTGTGCTTTACTGGGCTTGTAGAACTCGCCTGCCTTGTTGATCCACCTCTCGGGGCGAAACTCCTCGGGTTGGGGCCACTCCTTGGGGTCCATGTGAACCGAGTAGATGTTTGCCGTACAGACAGTGCGTTTTGGTATGACGTACCCACACAACTCCACCTTATCTGTGGTCACATGGGGGACGGTTGTCGACGCTGGAAAAGAGGACGGAGAAGTTCTGGTCGTCACTGCGCAAATAAATGAGCTGAAGTATCGCACCCCCGCCCCGGCCTTATCCTGCTCCCACTCCAGGAGTACTTACAATTTGCAGTTTGTCCCCAGGAAAGGAAACCAAGGTCTATATTTAATATAATCATCGAAATAATCATGATTTAAATGTCATGATCCATATCATCCAGTCCGGTGTTAAAGATTTTTTGGTTTGAAGTTTGCGTTACGTTAAAAACAGTGTACAAGTTCTTGTGAAAGGTTAGGTAAAGTACATGTAGTCGGCTAAAATCCTGTAGTCGTTTTGTGAAACAGGCCCAGATGCTGTTCTTAAGATAAAAAGAATGAGCCATTTACCTACCAACATTAACAACCCTCATCATTTCAGAGATGAACGCCTGCACATAGGGCAGGTGCGGCTTGTCTTGGAGAGAAGGGCGGCGGCCATTGCCGATCACCTGAAACGATGGTTTGCCATTGTAAAACGGACAGGCTCTTCAATCTTGATTTAATAAAATTGTTGGCGTATTAGTGTACTGGCTATATCACTTAATTTTTTTTTTTTTTAATATTCGAAACGGCCACCTTTTTGTTTTGTTCTTTCATAAATACATTCTGATGTGTATGTGTTTTCGTTTACACATAAAACAATGGGCCATGTTCTCTTTCACCTGCATTATTTCCTTGTGTAATTCCCTCTGGATTTCTGGGTAGCATACCAAAAAGAGGATGGCCCAAGTAGTGGAGAGAGAAGTAGTTTCTGTCCCCGCAGAAAACAGATCCACTATGGCTCGAACCATGCTCTCATCTGGAGAAATATAATAAAAGTACTATAATAAAGGTGTTATAACGACTCGCCAAAGAAGCAATTAAGCCATTCCCTGAGTGACAGGCACTATAAAGCTAGCTTGCTCACTATAACATTTCATGTGTTGGTTTTACAGTATGCCAGTGGTGACTGAGTTGATGTTGCTGATGTGGGTTATATATGAAATCAATACCGAAATCTAGAACCGGGGGGGGGGCGTCTCGATAGTCCGAAGGTTCATTGGTCCGAAAAGTGGTAACATTTTCATCGATTTTTTTTATCAAGGGTTCATTGGTCCGAAGGTTCTATAGTGGCTCTTTGTTTTGAAACAACATTTCCATTATTTCTTTGAAAATGAAGAAATCTTCTCCGGGAAGCAGATAACACCCATGTCAATATACTTGCTTTGTAATAAATATCAAGTGGAAGAAACAAAAGGCTCATAAGGTGTTGTCCCTCACACTGTAAAAAGGGTTTATTTCGTGCTGCTACTGTTTGGACCATAGAAACATTATGATAAAATTATAGTGTTGCTAGACCACTCACACTTTATAATGTGTTGATTCATACCTCCATGTGACGGTATAAGGGACTAAAAGTTACAATTTTAGAGTTACAATAATGTGCCATCAATTTCATTTTGGTCTTTTTGGTTGAAATTCTTGAAATAG